CGCGTAAGCTTTGCTTCAGTGATTCATTTTGATAAAAAGAAAACCTCGACTGCCAGGGCAATCTCTCCGGAAAATGTTCCAGTCCAGTATGGAGGACTCGGAAAAGCAAACGATGAGCTCTTCAGGAATGCTAAGGCAACGATCACGGAATCCTGCGTGAAAGCCGGCTCGATGCTTATAATCGAGATCCAAATAAACGAGGTGAATGGATCGAAGCTTTGACAGTAGAGTATTCATGCTTTTGTTTATTCCTTTTCTTTTGCTACAGGGCGACGAAGTCTCTTGGGAGCTCTCGGTTCTAGGATGGGATGTGAGCTATGGCGCGGAATTCACCCCCTCTACGGAAGGAGGCTACACGGTTATTGTGGAAAAGCCGAGAAAGATCTCAGCGCAAGAATTTCAGGGAGAGGGAGAGCTCGTAGGAAATGATGGCATTTGCAACACGTTCAAGACAAAATCGCCAGGTTCGCTGCTGCTCACCATTGACAACTCTGCCGCGAAAAAGAAAAAGCTGGTTCACTACAGATACATCGTCAGGGGATGAGATGAGAGAGCACATCTTAATTGTAAGCAAGTCCATTCTCTTTTGATTATCTTTGGCTTTGATTTTGATAGCCTGTCGTGCTTTGTCACAAATGCAGGCACTAAGCAGCACAAAAGCGATACTTTCTTCATTGCATTTAGTCTAAGTAAGTATGATAGCTTTTTTTCCACAAGGTTCTTCTGACTACACTACTACTTAATCAAAGGAACAAAAAATTTTGAGGAGGTAGTGTGGCATACTGGCATTTGCTCCCCAGCTCAACACCAGCTAAGGGGACTTTAGAGTGACCACTGTGTCACATCATGGCCTGGTTTGTTAGCCACTATTCTAAGTACAAAGATCCCCCTGACCATTGCAAATCCACAGCCATGTTAGATCCTCCAGTAGATTAATAGAATCCAGTTAGTTGATTAAATCAGGTGGACAACAGGACTAGAAAAGACTTCTTTTATCATGTGCCAAGCCTGCCACCTTTTTAAATAGATTAAACGCGAATCATATGGAATCATGCACCGGAACGTGCTCCTCTACGAAGTACAATCGTAGCTATACGTCTCAGAATCCGTCGTGAAATCTTGCACGTCGGTTGTTAGCGAGGGGGGGAATCTAGGCCGTTTGAGAAGTTACACAAGGGCATTCTGTTTTCACCCGTGCCAGCCAGGCTGTTACCCGCAATGTCGTTTTAATCGCTTTTTACCCCGCGCCGACGACCGGTGGTCAACAGCGCTGACGTCATGACCAATTAGAGCTAAGGCTGATTTGGCTGTTTGTTGTTCGGTAAAACATGCCCCCAGATATAGGCAGTCAGACAGCGTCCGGCCTGAAAACTAGCGACGTTTGAAGCACATGCCATTTCTGACAATGCTGACACGTGGTGGCTTTTTGGCCGGTCATCTGGATACGTGGGACAAGTCCGGTGGCGACGCGTGGAAGGATCGCAGCCGTGGGATCCCTGCATTACGCTCCGGAATGGCCACTGTTTTATTCTACAACGGAATGGCCAGCGCTTAGAGCGGAGGGAGGCTTGCGCTTGAATGTTGCTCTCTTTTTCTCTTCCTTTCTCGATAGCGCGATGGATCGGTGACGAGCGCTTGTCCGGTGCGAGTGGCAGTGTGTCCAATGCATCGATTGGTCCCGGGGTTTGTGTGAAGTTCTTGGAAATTTGCGGTGTTTCTCCCTTGTCGAGCTCAGATTCCACTGCCATGGCGTCTCTCCTCCTCGCCGCGGTGAATTTCCGAGGCGCGCGCCTGGTTCTTGGAAAATCCGGCGTCTAGAGACTCAAATCAGCATCGCGCAGCTCCCGCAGTGATCCGATCGGGCAGGGAAGGGCAGGATCACACAGGAATCGGAAGAATCTTCCAGCGCGGCCGGGAAATCCATCGTAATATCGAGCGAGCGGCGCTTTCTTCAAAGGTAGAGCGAGGCGAGGGATCGAAATGGAGACATGTGCCGCGTAAATGCGAGATTTGCAGCAGTCCTTCTCCAATCAATCGCCGTGAAGCCGAAAGATCTCCAAGAAAGAAGGCGAAGAACAGCAGCACAGGGTTTCGAGCAAGAAAGCAAGAACAGTGAAGAAGACGACGAGGAGGGAGGAGATCTTCCTTGTCCTACTATGTTGAATGGAAAGCGAAGATACGACGACGACGACGACGAACTAGTCCGCTCGCTCATCAAATCTTCGCAGCTTAGCAGCCGCCGACTCCCCTTGGCGCGATGCGAGTGAAAGCTCTCCAAGAGGTTTAAAGTCACCCAGATAATTTCCTCCATTTCCTCTCTGCCAGCCATCACCACTGCGATCATCGCTACTTTCTTCTTCTTCTTCTCGGCCGCCGCTGGGATCATTCATTCACGTCTCACGTCTCTGGAACACGGGGTTTCTTCCGGCCAAAGTCTTCTTCTTTAGTTTTCAAGGCACAGGTGGTGGAAGAAGGAAGCTTAGTTAGTAGTAGTAATAGTGGTGACGACGACGATAGAAAAAAAAAAGGAAGGGAGGGAGAAAAAGGAAGCTCTGGGCAGTGTGCTGTGGCTGGGCTGCCCTCAACTTTCTTAGCTGCGCACACAGAGGTCCTGAAAACTACATGTGGTCATCCAGCGGCCTGAGCAGCAGCAAATAATCTTTTATCGTAGCGTTCTTCCAGCACTCCGTCGTCACTGGCAGCGCTGTTCTGCTACTACTGCTACTGCGACTGCTGCCGCTGCTCCTGGTGCTGCTGCTGCTACTGCTGCTACTGGGTTTTGGAAGCGGATGGAATGGAATGGAGGGAAGCTGCTGGTTTGGCTCCTTTCAGTACTCTATGCTAGCTCTGGGCCGCGGCAGCATTTGTTGTTGCTGATAACGAATTGATGGTGGAAGGTGCTTGCAAGCTTTGGCCGCGCTCTCGACACGAAACGAAACACCAAGAATTACGTTGCTCGGTTCCGTCTCCCCGGCCGCGGCTGTGCACGGCGTAGATAGAGTTTTCTCGGACGCTGATGATCGGCCGAGAAGCGAAGACACGGCACGGAACTTGCAGGAGGACGTCCTTGTTGCTGATTGAATGCATGCACGCAGGAGCTGGGAAGCGCGGGTGGATTTGTTGAGACGCATAGAGATCTTGGAACTTTCTTGCTTGAAAGGTAAGCAAAGCTCTCTTCTTTTTTTCTCTTTCGCTTTCTCGCTCGTAATCGGCAATGTAGCTTACTCTTTCTCTTCCTCTCCCATGCAGCTCTCGTGCGTAGCGCTGCGGAGCTCATGGCGAATTCCAATCAGGGAGACGGGAGATTCGTGAACTGGGTACAGTTTCTCAATTCCAGCCTACCACCGAAAAGCCCTTCCGGAGCCGTGGAAGCCGCTGGATTCTCCTCCGGCCGCAGCAGCAATGGCAGCAGTAGTAAAATCCATCACCAGCGAACACCATCGGCAGGCTTCGTCCCGCAGCTCACTCCACAGTCCTGGATCGACGACATGCTCGACTCTCCGGAAGCTTCGGCCAGGAAGATACACCACCGGCGCTCCGCAAGCGACACTGCTGCATTCCTGGACCTCCCCGATCCGAGCTCGAGCAGATCACTCCCCGACGAGTTTAAGCGAGACGACGAGTTCTCCGACAGGAGCTACTTGTCCTCCTCGAGAGCTTCCGACTTCGAGCGGCTCGACGAAGCCGAGCAGATCGTGTCCATGTTTAGCAGCGGCGGAGGCTCGGAGGTATCGCAGAGATCCAGACCGGCAATGCTCATCTGTTCCTCTTCGTCAGGGGGGAATGGAAACCACCACAGTGGCGCCGCCGCGAGGGAGGAGAAGAAGCAAGCTCCGCCGGACGCGACCACCTCTCCCTCCGATAGCAACAGTGGTAACGATATGTCCACTGAAGACGGGCGGCCGGGACCATTGAGCTGCCCCAAAACCGAGCCAGACGAGGTCCAAAGTATGAATGCGAGCGAAGCTCCAAGTAGCATGACTATTGCCACTACAGTGGGTGCCAAGCAACCGACTGCGTCATCACACATCGACCCGAATATGGATCCCAAACGAGCCAAACGGTAGTTTCAAAGTTCCAAGCAGCTGATCATTGGCTTAAATCCTTGCTTGGTGTTTTCTTCCAGAATTCTGGCGAACAGGCAATCGGCTCAGCGGTCCCGCGTACGGAAACTACAGTATATTGCTGAACTTGAAAGGAGTGTGACTGCATTGCAGGCATGTGAACTTCCTGCTTTCCTTTTCTCTTTCCCTCTTCCTTTGCCATCGTAGTTTATATCTCTCTGCGGCTCTGCGGCAGAAGTAGACATGTTTGGACGTACTGCTTGATAGTTAAGTGATCAGTGATTGATAATAGCTTTTAGTCTCCACAGGGCAGGGTGTTGTTTTCTTTGTTTTGTCAAGCTCTGGAGTGTGCTAACCATTTTGTTAATGTCGCCTTGTCTCTGTTTTTCCAGGCGGAGGTATCCGCGCTAACGCCCCAAGTCGCTTTCCTGGATCACCAGAGGATCCTGCTAAACGTGGACAACAACTCGATAAAGCAGCGGATAACATCGCTCATACAAGACAAATGCTTCAAAGATGGTCAGTGAGTTCCTTCTTTTCCGGATTTATAGTCACGAGCTCAAAGCTCTCTTTCCTTTTGCTTTTGATGATCTAGCTCAAAACGAGGCACTCACGAGGGAGCTCCAGCGGCTGAGGCAAATGGTGCTCCAGCAGCAAGACGAGCTGCGATCGCAGCTCCAGCAATTCAACGCGGCTGGGGACAACGACGATCAGCAGCAGCACGAGAGCAAGCCGGACTTGTCGTCCTCGTCGTTCGGTTTGAGAGTAAAGGTACATCCACAGCCCTCGTCCGAGATTCTTGCCACTACTAATTCTACTTCCACCATTTCGACCGCCGCCACTAATTGCTTGCTAGGGGAGATCGAAAACGGCAATGGTCATGACAGTAACTAGCTAGTAATCTCGCTGGCTCTTTTTTTTTTTTGCACATCATGCTAAATTCTTTCATTTTTTACCACCTTTTTCTTTTAATTCGAAAAGGCTAAGTTTTAGGACACAAGGTACAAACAATGGACGAATTTTCGAAGTTTCTGACGCTAGTAGGAGAAGATTCAGAAGAATCCAAGACGACGAAGAACTTTCAGCCATGCCACGACGAGGGGCGCACTAAGAAACTTCGTCCCGCAAGATGTGCTCCACACGCATCCTCTCGACGCGTTTCAAGCTTGTATCTTGTTCGAGCGAGTGGGAATTTATACGTGAAAGAGCAGGGAGTCTACCAAGCATTGAGTGGACATGGGCAGCGAAGTAGTGGTCGTCGCAAGCTTGCCTCCGGTCCTAAACAAGGCCAAGAGGATCTGCGATAGTAAAAGCGAGGTTAGAAAATTGGCACCCAAGCAGTGCGCCTACCTGATTGAGAGAGTGGAGAGGCTACACAAGTACCTGCTGGATATGATCGACTTCGAACCGGGGCTCCTGGAGGACTGCAAGCCGACCATCGCCCAGATTGACAGAGTCATGGACCGCGCACAGTTTTTACTCCACCGCTGCTCCAGCCCCGACTGGCTCTGGCACGCCGTGCTCAAGAAGGAGCACAAGCTCAAGTTCCAAATCATCCTGCAAGAGCTTAGTCAGTGCGTCTACTTTCTAAAGCTCAAGGTCTCGGTGAGTAAAGGTACGTTGAGGCCTGCACCGCATGCTTGGGAGTGGCCGGAGTCGGAGAGGCAGGAGCTCAAGGCAGCAGCGAACATGGACCGGGAAGATCTGAAAAGAGTAGCGGCGAAGTTGGAAGATAAAGAGACCGACGTGAACAAGATCGAGCTCGGGAGGTACCTCTTGGCGGAGGTGGAGAACAAGCGTTCGCAGGAGCTCCCGCTGCCAAAGTACCTGTTTCGCAATCCAGAGAAAGTGATTCAAGGTAAGCTCATTGGAGAAGGATCCTACGCATACGTCTACGAGGCTACATGGCTGGGAAGGACGGTCGCGACCAAAGCTTATGCTGTGCAGGACCCGAGCTCGGAAAGAGAGCTACGAGCTCTGTTTTATCTGAGGCACCCCAACATAGTGAAAATGGTAGGCTATACCCAGCGATCCAAGGAAGGTCCTTACGTTCTCCTCATGGAAAGAATGAAGCGCGACCTCCACAATCTCATCAAGGACATAGTACAGAGCAAACCAGGACCTCCCTTCGAGATGGACGTGGCTGTCGATATCGTTCTCCAGATTGCCAGAGGCATGGAGTTTCTTCACGCAAACGACGTGAGCCACCTTGATCTCAAGACAGCCAACATACTTATCAATCTTCCAAGCAACGAATGCAGCTTTTACACTGCCAAGCTCAGTGACTTTGGACTATCAGAGACGAAACTCAAAAGTGCACAGTCAAAGGTCCCAGTCAGGAGGGGCGGGACAGTAAACTTCATGGCTCCAGAAATATGGAACGAAGAAAAGAATGCAAGCAGGAAAAAGGCAGACGTTTACAGCTTTGGTATGACTTGCTACGAGATCTTCACCGGCAAGGTGCCATTCGAAGGCTGCTCTTACCCGGCAGCCGGATTTTTCCTCCGGGTTAAGGACAACAATCTCAGACCAATTCTACCACCTGGCTTTCCAAGGTGCCTATCTCTGTTTTTGCAGTGTTGCTGGCACGGCAGACCGGAAATCCGGCCAACTTTCAAGAAGATATGCAATTACCTCATAGCGCTCAAAAACGTCCTCACGATTGGAGATCCTCCGGATGCAGTTCCAGATGGCTATTACCTGAACTCACCAATTGGAGATATATTAGACGAGGACAAGCAGCTGAATGCTATGGGCACAAGAGACCATCACGAGGCAATACTTGCCGCGCTGGAAAGCTTACAAAAAGAATCACAAGACAAGCTGCAACGCAACGCCTCAGGTGCCAAGTACAAAAGCAGGCTCAAATCGTACATACGAGACTCAGAGCATCTGGTGCATGAAGTAAGATCACACAAGAACAAATACATAGAGTTGCAATGCAGAGCGGTGACGACAGACGAGGAAGAAGAAAGCTCAAACAGTAACGAGTGTTGGCCGATCAGGAGGCTGAAGGTTGAACGAAAACAAAGGTAAAGGCATTGCCAGCCAGTAAATCATAAAAGCAGAAAATGGACACCGACCTCATTGTCTGGCGACATTTTACTGTTTGAATGCATTCCTGCCAAAGGGATTGTTAGTCTCGGACGTACAATATACATGACGTACCTTTGAGGCAGTAAATGCGCACGGCCTGAACACTACTTGAAAACTAAATGCGTTCCTGGTAGTTATGCAGTCAGCTTGTGGCTTTCTGCACCGCTGTGGAGGATCATAAAATTACGCCTACGCAGCTACAAACACAGCGCAAACTCATTGGAAGTAGAAACAAAGGAGCGAACGTACCTGAAGTACCTCAAGCTGGGTTTGTAGTTCCAATCATTGCCTAAGTAACTGTTTCGAGGGGTTAATTCAGGGCTTTTTACTGCTTCTGAATGTTTAAGCTTCTGTCGCTAGTGCAAAAGGAAGGCAGAAATTTAAAGACACAAGCTGTAAAAATACACGTACCAGAGTGGACAGGAAGCTTAAATTACTTCTTATGGACATAAGTGTGCCTTTCTTACAAGAGAATATATACGCTCAATATATACGAGCTCAACACCACCTCGGTCGTCTCTGCACAAATAAGGTAAACTTAAACCAATCTCAAGCCTCACAGCTGCCGTGATATTACTTACCAGCCACCTAAATTCATTCAGCTGCTCTAAGCAATTGTAGAGTTCTTCCTGGACAGCCTTGAGCGCCTGGAAAAACAAAAAATAGGAGATAATAAGTCCAGTCAAAACACTGGGAAATATCATTCTTACTTTTCTTGCCTCCGCTACTTCTGCTTCAAGTGTCTTAATTCGTTCCGCAGCAGCATCAGGTATCTCTTCCGGAGGCTGTTTACTTTTCGACAGCTCGGTGACTTTCTCTTCTAGCTTGTCCATGCGTTTTTTGAGTTTTGGCGAGATGATTTTGTCCACAAGCTCTGGTGAAGGGACAGCATAAACCACTCTAGCATCCGTAATACTAGGCTCTTGATTTTGCGTCTTGTTGAAACCATAGAGCTCTTCGTTATTGCGCGAGAACGCTCTCCAGATGTAGCTCCACACCCACTGAAAGAAAAAAGAAATGTACGCTACTGCAGCCCAAAAATGTAGAAAGGTCCTTGTTTCGTTCTTTGAGGATAGTTCTGCGTGGCAAACAAAAGAAGGCTTATTAACAGGACAAAATCATCATCAGCAGATACCTGTCTTCGTGATCCGGTTACTCTCCTTCACATAGCCGTTGTCAACCACTTTATCAACCATCGGAACTACATCACCATCCTCCAGTATCGAAAAACTCTCCAACAAATCTGAATTGTCTACAGGCTTGCTAGTCACCTGCGAGAAAACAAATCAAAAAGGAAAAAAGTAAAGAAAATAGGCACGCTACCTCTTCCGACACCGCTTTTAGAACATCGCAAGAGCGTGTTCTTGTGGGGGATGTTAATTCTCCATCTGATCCGGACTCCGCTGTTGAAACATCAAGATCATGACTCTACAACCATTTAAAGTTACTTCAAAACCTTCAGACTATAAAACAAAACGAACCTTTCCCCTAGGCAAATTATTTCGTTTAGGAGAAGTTACAACGTGCCTTACGAACTTCACATGCCCCTCCATTACAGCCTGCAGTTCACAAAAAAGACGTCATCTTCGTCAGCAACATTTGACACACCTTCAGTATGGCAGGATCCTTCCAGGGGCCTTTATCAGAACGAAGACATCCACCATCCCCAGAGCAAGTGCAAGTTCCACCCAAAAAGTCAGGAAGCTGACTGTCGAGATTAACACGAGCGTAAGTTATGCGAGCAAACTGATAAAAGAAAGCTCTTACCTAGCATCAATAACTTCCAGAAGCTTGCTGCGAAATTTGTTTCCGAGTACCTGAAAAAGAGCCCTGATGAAGTGAAACTGCAGTGTCCATTCAGCCTGCTTACAGATATTTTGGTAGCTGTTTTCGGATCTAAAAATCCCCGTATGGTGTTCCACACAAGCTTAAATCCAGGACCAGCATTTATAATAAACATACGATGCAATGTCTGCATAATAAACGCATAAACTCAGGAAGAAAGGCATAGAGTTCAACGAGCAGGCTCACCTCGGGATAGTTATCGCCGTCAATCTTTTGAATATTGATAATAAGGTCCCTTGCAGGCTTGCTGAAGTTTTTTAAGCTCTGGAAAAACGTACAGACAAAGCAGTAAGATTTGAAAAAGTACGTACAGAAGTGCGTCATACCACTCCAGCTACGTCCAAAATTGTTGTTGTGGAGTCGATGTGCCGCTTAGCAGCCGCTGAGCAGGCAGGAAACTTTTTCTTAATGGTCCTCTCGAACTCAAGCACGTGATACTTCAAATATCTTTCAAGCGTTGTGACTTGCATCAGCTTGTTGGGTTCGACCTTCCCGATCCTCTCAATATATACAGGCCTTCCTTCTTTGTCCACTCCATGGTGGCCCTGTGGATAGTATTTCCTCACTTCCTCCAGCTCTTTAAAATGGAAATCCTAGACAGTCCAAAGAAGAAGAAAAAAACATTAAAGAGAACCAGCCGTAAGCGTTTAAATGGATGGCACCAACCTCTTCAATCGTATCGACACCGTTTTCCCTGCGCCATTGCAGCATATCGGCCCACATTTGCTTGGCCTTCTCCAGATCGAACTTCCTGGCTTTCAAAAATCTACACAGGGAGAGATTTTTAACAACACTTGCCGGCGATGCTTGGCTTACCTCAAAAGAGTATAGTAATCATCGTGGTCGGCCGGAAGAAGATTCTCCACTGCCAACGCTGCTCGAAACGCTTCCACCGACGTCTCCTCTTCCGCGTCGCGAATGTCCTCAATCGAGAGGGATTGACTCCTCGCGTCCGGCCGCCTCTTCCCCCTTCTCTTGAGAGAAGATCTAAATTTCTTGGAGGCGATCGCTTTCAAGGCCGCCATTTTGGTCTTCCCTTTCCTCTCGTCCTCGGAATCCTTCTCCAAACTCTCCTCCTGAGCTGCGGCGAGCCGATCTGCACGAAATATCGCCACAGCATCTTGAGCACCAGGAGGGAAGCCACAGCAAAGAAATCTCACCAGCATGCAAGAAGCTCGAGAGCGATCGATCGCCGTGCTCGTCTGCGACACTCTCCATCGCGCCTAAAATTTCCAGCTCTCCCCCAGCGACCGGCAAGACAACACTGGCGCTTTCTTTATTCCTCTCCCCTCTCACCGAAAAACCTAATCTGGGTTGTAGCCCGCCTGACGGCTGTCACTTGAACGGACGGCCAGATCACATCCGACGGCCTCGAGGATGACCGAGGTCGCATCCGACGGCTGGCGTGGCAAGAGGCTAACGGTCCAGCCAACGGCTTTGGTTAATTACAGTTATATTAGACTTTGAAGCTTTTGGTGCGCATGCCTATGAGAAAGAAGCTAGGCGGTCCCCCATTGGCCACCGAGAATCTTTAACTTTTGTTTGATTAATTCGGGATTATCGTTAATCAGACATAGCCTTCTCGTGCTTGAATGGCTAGGAACGGAGATCCATGGAAAAATTCTTTCGCACCATCTAGAAAGGAGTTAAAAATTTTGATACTGTCAATCACACGCTCCCACAATGTTGTCTACGCTGCTTTACATTGTTGGAAGGAACATCACAAAAAAACAAAAAGCTTGATTTTATCAGAGATTTGCCACACCTTTACTTAGTTTGCCTTGATAAATTTAATCACCGGGTCAAACACGTCTTGCCTTGCTCGGGTTCCTACAACAAAATCCGCGTGAGCGTAGTTTGGAAGAAATAGTGTTTGCTGCGTGCAAACGAGGCGCTTGGCCAGTTCCTGGACGCCCTGTGGCGTAGACAATGTGTCCTTGCCTCCATACACGAGGAAAACTGGAAAGCTCTTGGGAATGTTGGCTGGCTCGTACGTCGGAGGAACCACTTGCGAGTAGGCGCGCATGTTCCCGAGACTGCTACCATAGTCGAACTTTGCAAACAAACCGGTTCTCACCACTGCCAAGAAAGAAAAAAAGAAAAAAAAAAATCAATAGCGTCGAGATTGCATCGGAAAAACAAAGAGCTTACTTTGAGCGAGGTGAACTAAGTTTTTCGTGGACGACCCTTGAGGCTCAAACTGGCGGTAGTAAGAAGTGAGGCTCGCGTTGAAGCAGCAATTCCGGCCTGTCCAGAAAGCGAAAACATGTAAGCTTTTTATGAAGTTGCAAGAATTACCCGTCACGAGGACCAGCAAGTCTGCGCATCGGGGGTCCAGCGAGCATAAATTCCTGAGAAGGTACGCACCAATTCCACTGAAAGCAAGCAAAACTTAAAGAACAAACAAAGAAAAGGAAACCATCAATTCTTGTTTACCTTTCAAGAGTGAATTGTGACAGGCCTACGTCGTCGTAGATCTGTAAATCACAGCAGCATTGAGTAGTGAGTGACCTGTGACCGCGATTTCTCGATCGAGCGAGAAAAAAAGAAGAAACGAAAGAAACGAGAGAAAAAAAATCTCACCTGGTCCATGTAGAGTAGAGCAGCGAGCCTGGAAAGCGTGGAAGTCATGCCTTTGAGGTAGGCAATGGGACTGAGTAACACCGCCGCCCTGACGACATTCATTAGCTTGGACTCCGAGAAAGCTGCCAGAGCAATCAACGTTCCCTGAGAAATCACCACCAGCTCTTATCTCTCGAGAGCACCACAGCACTATTCTACCTGAGAATGGCCGACATAGTAAAGCTCCGAGCCAGTGTTTTCATGAACCAAGTTGAGCATGGCTGGGAGATCGTACTGCGCATGCCCGTCCCAAGTCCAGTCCCAGTACGCCTAGCAGAAAAGAGCAAAGAAAAATCGAGTCACAAAGTTCATTCTTGACTCCAAGCACAAAATCATCGGGAACAAGCAATCGCAAAGAAAAGCCGACTCTTCGAAAGAAATCTCAAGAACAATATCATGAATCGCAAAGAAAACACAAGAACAACACCTGGAATTGCAAAGAAAACGCAAGAACAATACCATGAATCGCAAGAAACACAGATCTCCATCACGGAATCGACAGATTCCGGGCATTACCTTGTCGCCGGAGGAGTACGAGACATGCTGGCGACTCCAATGCGTGCCGCGGAGATTCCCGATCCACACATCGAAGCCTTCGTCCGCGAGAACAAACCCTAAAGAATTGCGCGGGGGATAAAACACCCAATCGTCTCCTCCCTGCTCCACAGTCACACACTCTTTTTTATACTTTTACTTTTCACACATACCTGAAGAACACCGTGCTGGAGAAACACTGGCTTTGGCGATGGCGAGGAAACTCCCGCCACACCGTGTGGTATTCTATGAACTCGCAGAATGTAGCCATCTGGAGTTGTCACCTAAGAAATAGAGAGGTTTTCTTTCTTTTTGTTCTCGCAAGTTCTTTCTCTACCAGATTTTCATATCGCTTACTTTGAACTCCTGGCAAGGATAGCCATGAACCAGGACCAGCGTGGAGCAAAAGCTGTCTTCGGCAAATCTTAAGATTTGCTTCCCATGATTTGGGAATGAAGAAGAAGGTGCTGCTGCTGATGCTGCTACTGCTAGACATGCTGCAAGGAGCAATGGAAGAACCATTTTCATCTTTGGCTTTGCTTTTGGGTCTGTTCAGCAGCAATCGCACTAAAAAGGCAGCGCCCACATTTGAGTGGAGTGGAGATCTTTTCTTTTCACACAGCTTGGAGCACTATGCCTACATCTCTCAACAATCACTCACGCGCTAGTGGTAGCTTTCCTAAATGGCTTCTTGAATACATGATACATCTCATGCTTGGTGTTGATTTTCAGGGAATCTTCTATCCCATACAGACAGTATTTACCTTTTTACATATATTTTTACATGTCTGTTGCTTACAAATCATACATTCATCCAAAATTGATATAACTGATTGCATGGCAGGCAGCAGCAGCCCCTTGGGCACATCATTCTCTGCAGTGATTGCCTTGCAGCACAAATTACTAATTGGAGCAGTCAAGTGTTGTTATATTAAATGCTTGTGGAGCCAGGGCCCCAGGCATGAACGACTCCTGGTGGGATCAGATGGAAGAATTATCTATCTATCTTCTTATCTACATGTTGTTTTGATAATGCCCAACTAGAAGCATGAGACTGATGGATGCAAAAATGCAAGTTGGATTATCATTTTCGCATAGGTGGCATCCTCATTGTCGTTGTGCTCCCGCTCACTGGCCCTGCCTACCCGTCTTTTTTTCCTCGGCCGTTCAAGGTCTCTGCCTCCATTGCATGTGTGACATGTATTTGCCATCGCAGCTCTATGCGTTTCAGGTAATTGGCAGGGGATGAGGTTGTCTCCTTGTTTGCAAGGATTATGTATGTTTTGGCATCCCAGTTGATGTCTGGGGAGCAGAATTTGGCATAGGCAGGGCAAGCCTTGAGTGTGTGCCTGACCGTCTCTGTGTCTTCTGTGCAGACCAGGCAGATCTGGAGATGTCGTGGAGGTTTTCCCTGTCTGCGGCATCTGGGTTCGATCAGGCTGTGGTTTCCTGTGCAGTACCAGGCGATGGTGTGTCTGCTCCATGTTGAAAGTTTGTTGTAGATGTTCAGTCTGAACATTTCATCTGGGTTTATCTCCTGGCAATAAAGGTGATATTTTGTCCAGTGTTCTTTGGCATGTATCCATGTGTGCATTGCTTTGTTCAACCATTGTTCAAGATCCTCTTTAAGTGCATTGAAAATGTTGTTGAGATCCATGCCAAACTTGTGCGTCCACGTCTCTATGTCGTGCCACCATCCTTGTCCATGTTCCCATGCCAGCAGATGAGAGTCAAGAATTGCTTGATCCACAAGTTTGCCATATGGTATGGGGAGTGCTGTTTTGGTGGAGATGCTGAGTTCGTTTGAAATGAAGGTCATTGCGATAGTTTCTAGGTTTCCCCACTGCTTTTTAGAGAGTTCAAGTCCCCACATTTCTGACCCATAGAGTGCAACTGTGGTTATTTTCGTGAGAAAATATATCTCCTTCGCCTCCCAACTTGTTACTCATGCTTTTCTACAGTCTGATTGCATTGCATAATAGGCGTGCTAGCCTCCTAGCCCGGACCCCTTCGACTTGGCTTGGTGTGGTGGATTATGTGCCCCAAATATTTGTACTCGTCAGCGATCTGTTTCCCTTCGTACCCACCATTATTCCTCGTCTTCCACTTCCATTTTCAGTGCTTCCACTGCTACCACTCAGCATAATGGATCTACACTCAGGGGCTTGCAAAAGGATGTTTGACGAGGACATCTTCGTGAGGAACACACTGATCGGGTTGTAGCTCGATCCTCCTACTCCAAACTGGAAAGATTGATGCATTCGATTGAGCTCGTGGCACTGGATGAGCGTGAGGACCAGAATTTGCTCTCCTTACAATATCAAAGTGAACTATGATCTAGAGGGGTATCTTACTCCATAATCTTGCTTTGAGTCAAAGCTTTTTACTTGGAAGGGAGTTGTTTATATTAAAACACAATATGTCTCTCATGGGATGGTGGCTTGATGTCAATGATGACAAAAAGTATGTGAATGAAGAATGATATATGTCATGTTCCAATGAGCAGATGTGACATGTGGCACTTATGTTCATGAAGATCCACTCCCAAACTCATATGACATGGAAATGTAATATGGCAGTTCCAATGAGCTACACTATGAATTTTCTAGAAATCCAAACAAGAACAAGCAATTTAGAACTTAAAGATTACTGGCAATTCAGAGGTAGATGGACTCCCACTTACTCTCAAGTCTCTAGTGGTGCCTTTTTCTTGTGCTATTGTGTCTTTGATTTTGGTCCCCCCAATCTAGGGTTTTATCCCACAACACCACTAAAACCTGAAAGGCAGACCACTGAGTCCTATTGACCTCTAAAACTTTCTCACCACATGACCATACCCTTAATTACTATATAAGAGGATTGCTCCTTTTCCTTTTCATAGTTTAGGGCTTTGGGATGACATTTCAAAACACTGGACTCCCCCTAAGTGACTAGAGTGGGGTTCCAATAAGCCACATCAACCCACACTTGGATTAGGAGTATTGACCATTTGATCTTCTAAAAGAGTTATAGTTAGCTTTTTAACACTTTATTAAGTTATTTCACTTATCCATTATTCACTCTAACTTTAGACTCTTTAGTAGTTATATCATCACCCACCACTTTAGTATAACTTTCCTTGGTCACACTAGCCTCTCCTGGCTAAATTGATTCCACTGAAGTCAAACCCCCACACTCTCCCTACTATACTTTTGCATCCCCCCCCCCCCTCCCCCCCTGGGGGGACGATTGCTTTAGGCTTTCACCCTTTGACTTGTATTAGTATTTAGATTCGGACTTAGACTTGGACTCAATTTTGGATTTAGTCTCGGCCTCGGCCTCGATCTTGGACTCGATCTCAGTCTCCATCTCAAACTCAACTTTGGGCTCCATTTTAGACTCCTTCTTAGACTCTATCTTGGATTTCTTCTTGGACTCCATCTCAAAGTTCCTCTTAATCTTGGACTTTTTTTAGATTCTATCTTAGACTCTTTCCCGGACTCCATCTTAGATTCGGTCCTAACACTTCCATGTGTCACAACATTTGCCATGTGTCAGTCTTTCTTGTGACCCTTTCTAGAAACTCATTCATCGATCGCTTCATATTCATTCATCAAGCATTTCATTTATAGTTTCACTCACACTCTTGACTTTCCAAGTCAAAGCTTTTGGTCCAAACATGTTATACTCGTTAGACTTCCACTTCGACCACTACTATATGACACATTTTTGGCGCCACTTTGGGGCTTAAGGATTTGTGTCTTATGCTCAACTTTGTTATTTGGATTTCTTTCAATGATTTCCATAGCCCAAAATTAGCCACTAGTCTTTTGCTCCTATCATTTGATTGTTGTATCAGCAACTTAGGATCACTACTTCCATCCTCAAAATATACTTTTGGTCTTATGGTAAAGGCTCTACTTCACTAAGTCCAGGGGGTGTTCACTACTCTAAGCTCTATCCATGGTTCAACCTTGCAACCCACCCATGGGTCTTTCCTTGAAGACTATTTTCTTGAACTTACAATATTATTGTATTGTCACAGTTCATTTCCCTTAGGTGTCCTTCCCACTTTGTCACTTTGACAAGATCATTTAGTGATATAACCTTGATACATTAATAGTTTTGCCAATAGGTACTAAGTCTTCCTGACCTTTAACTTGTTAATTATGACCGTAGAGGCATCCCCCACACTTGGCGGCGTGCCTAAGCTAGCCCTTCTGGCCAAGGGTCTATAGCAATTGAGACTGAGTGTCCCTATCTCATTCACCATATCCTTAATGCCACTTGCACTAAAGTGTTCAAGTTAAATATGTTAAGCTTTCACACTAAGCAATTTAACCATGCATCATGACTCCGGGGCATCCCCCACTTGGTAATGTGCCCAAGCCAGTTTCTTCACTAAGAGTCTATGAGCATTGAAAAATGAGTATCCTCATATTCTAACCCACCACCATGCTCTAGTGAGTTAGGATTCGAACCCAAACACTAAAGGGTTGGGACTCGAACCTAACCTTTGTATATGCATTTATGGACAGTATTACCTAAAATGCCTGGTGTGACTCCCCACACTAGTGCACCAATTTATATTTAAAGCGCACTATAGAACACAGCTTAGGAATCTAATTCCTTCGCACTGCCAAGTCCTCTTACTTGATAAATCGTGATCATGTATAGACTCCTCCATGCTTAGCCCCATAAGCCACCCCTTTTTGGAGTCAACACCTTCAACTAGGGTCTTTGTTCTACCAATTTGCCAATCTCACTTAACAAGTCACTCGATTAGTATAATATGGTTTCATACATAAGTGTGAAAGTTTTTAACCATCGACTTTCATTTAAAACCATCTCCTTAAACACTTAGGGATTATTTCCCCAACCTTGATAGCCTCGCTCATAGCAAGCTTCAAAACCACGTTTTTGCTATACCACTTTGATTTCACGCGTTCTATGAACCATTTACACTTGTCTTTTTAGGTACTAATTTACCTAAAATTGTCTTTGGGAACTTTGAAAGGACTCTGTCCCTTAGTTTAGTAAGGCCTTTTCTTTCGCAAGTTTTTTAATTGCTATATGGTTTAATATGGATAATTCCATACTTTAAACTCTCTATAACATCACGATTGCTAATAGTAACATGTTTGAGCACACACTTGATTCTCCACTCCCAACTTACATAACCACCTTTGGTTATATTTTTTGATTTTTATGGTTCCATTCTATCCCTTTACTACTTACTTTTTGGCCTTACGCCTTCCCTTTAGTTATTCTACTCCCATTTAAGAGGGTAGTTTTGTACTTTCTACTATGCCTTACTCATCGTGTAATCCTACACATAAGGATTAATGTCATTATATATGAGCTTCTTTATGCCTATTGCTAGCCATACCAAAATCCCTTTTTGGCTTTGTCCAATTTGAATAGATGGACTTTTCCTATCTCTGCAATTTTGAACGTTAGATAGCACCTTCTATCCATTATTTGCTAAAGATTTAGTCTCTTGAGCCTTATCTAATGCCCTCATGATTCTAAACACCACTCTCTAGTGTTTTAGAGTGTTTTGGTATCCTAATGATGACCTTATTTGACAATGAGCATTTTCTTTTATAACATTGACTTATATAAGCAATTTATTTCCTAGAGGGGTATAGCTAACCTCTTTATCCCAATAATAAATCTTGGATAGTTAACTTGTATCAATTAAATCAATTATTTTGCACATTTTGCTTAGTTACCTTGTAGTTGTCAAGTTTTACAACTCATTCATGATGCTTCTACACCTCCATCATTATTTGGGTCACCACACTTTAATTGCATGCCTTTCAATTTAGGTTATC